GCAGCTCTTCCCCTAATCCACTTACCCAGCGTACAGGTCAGCTGTATACGCCTGGTTTTCTAAAGGTCACTTTGGCTCCCTTCTTGCCGTTTCACTGGAATAAGCACTATTCCGCGATGCGCAGCAACGACCGTGCTCCCAGAAAATGATGCTGCTCTTTACATTTCCTCTCTTTAGCTAGGATTTACCATACTGCATCCCTGTCTGCTATACAGCCGGGGTTCTGCTTCACTGTGTGCACAGATCTATGCATCTCCCTGACACCTCGGTAGCTGGAGGTAGCAGCCAACATTGAACTCCTCGAACCTAGCGTTGCCAGAGGAGGCTGACTGAGAAGGAAAGTCTGACTTTGCTGTTTGCTTGAAACAGAGGTTTCGAGACAATAATTGTTCAGCCTGACCTGCGTTCCCTTCCTCAGGAGGAAGGACGGTCTGGGGTTTCAAGCAGGGACGGGGATCACAAGCCCCCCCGGCCCTGCGCCTCGGCTTGCCACAGCCTTCCTGGGTGACCCCGGGCAGCCCATGGAACAGGATAAGTAATACTCATTATTATACTTATTAATGATTTTAATAAAGAGCTTTGAGACCCTGGAATAAAAATGCTACAAGTGAAAAAAAAAACCAACCCAAACCCCTGTCTTTACCATGGAAGTGAAAGTTGCCTGGAAAAAAAAGTGAATAAATTGAATAATTGATATGAGTCAGTGGCTGATCCTATAAATCGGCTGAGCTTATGCTGTAAATTTATCGCAGCTGCGGACAAGAGGCAGCAAGAAGAGAGACTTGGGAAGAAACTGCTCCTGGGGAAAATGCATTTTGCAGGGCATACAGGAATTTACGAAAGCTAGCAGGGGAAACAGGAGTTACTTTTTCTAGTGCTATAAGCATGCAAACGTTTGTGGATGTCAAATACGTGCTAATGACTTAAAAGTAACTTTTATCTTCTGCTTTTATTAATAAGTCTGAGCAAAGTTTCCCTGTACTTTAGATTTCAGGGGAATTCTTTGTTCCGTTTAGCCATTTTTCTGCCATCAGTTTACATGCTTCTCTCACAGGAGGAATTTTTATTCCCTTTTTTGTTATGTTTAAATACCATCCCTAAAATGATGTCATTACGAGACATAACATTTTAATTAAATCTCCCTTTTATTATCCGTTGACCAACAAGAGGCCCGCCGCGGCTGCCCGGCGTTATGATTCACCGGCACGTGTGGCTTACCAGCACGGCACTGGGAGCCAGAGGGGGAGCGGGGGGAATTCCACCCTGCCCCGAAAAGCATGTAAGCCGCCCCTCCAGCACCCACACTGGGCTCACGCTGCCGCTGCTTCCCCTCGCCTCCCTCTGCCCGCTCCCCGGCGTACAGATGTAAGGTGACCTCGGCCAGGGAACGCGGACGGTTGAAGAGCTTTCCAAGGGGGAAAGAAAAAAAAAGCGGGGGGGCTCTTCTTCAGCCGCATCGCTGCACGGTCAGAAAGGCAGCTCCACTTGGCAGGGAAAGGGGCTGCGTAAACCGACCGAAGTATCGCAGCACTCGAGCCGGCATCACAGCTCGAGGGAATCTCGAGGAAGGAACGTTGCGCCCGGCGGGGGTGACGCAACGGGCTGGCCGAGGCCCGCAGGCACGGCCCCACTCCTCGGGCAGCAGGGGCCAGCACCTCGCTAGCCCTCACCCCTGCCCAATCCACTGGTCGCTCGGAGCCCCAGCGGGGCTTGGGGACCACACCGGTGGAAGAGGCTGCTTAAACCAGCAGAAGTGACCCTGCCAAGGAACGCGGAGCTGGAGCTTCCCGTGGGGGGACACCCAGTCTCCTGGTCCGACAGCGGGGCTTGCTGGGGATCCGTGTTCCGCGCTGGCCCACGCATCCTGCCCCTCGCTGCAGGCTCTTGGGATTAGCGCACACGGGGGACACTGCAAATCGTGCTAGCATCCGCTACTCACAGTCAAATACATTTACCCTGTTTTAAAAGAAATGTATCCGCAGTGTAAGGAAAGACATAAAAACTCGGTGTTTGCCTTTCACTGGGGTTTTCTCTAATACACAACAAGAAGTCAGATTTTATCCGGCATGCTGTGCACCCCCAAGGAAAATACAAAATTGTTGGAGGGAATCTGGACATTTTCCAGAGGTACGCAGAAGCGCAAAGAGGGAAAGGAAGCACCCTGAGTGACAGATCTCATCACATGCAGTTTCCTAGGGATTTCTCTCTTTTGGCTGATTGATTTTTTTAACTGAACAGTATGAAGACTTTCTGTTACTTCAGTGTACACCAAAGCAAGTCCCTCCGCTTTCCCATTGTAGTCCTCCTCCTGAAGGTAATCCGGCTATGCTGTAAGAGACCTGGTATCTCCTAGAGGAAACCAACAAGTTCCTGTGTTGAAGTGGCAGACACACAGCCCCACCTTCTTCTATCTCAAATGAATTATTTTATGAAACTTAATCACTTAATTAAGGATCTTAATTACTTTTGTGACCTCTATCCTTCTGCCAGATTTAACTCAAGTAAGCTAACAAGTTAAAAAGTCACTGGGACAAGGACTAGCCCAGGTGAGAGAGGGGATGCCCGAGCAGGCCAAGCAGAGGCCTTGCTTCCATGGGGAAATGAGGCTGAAACGGTCACGTTGAGTTCAGTGACGCTGACAGAGAAGCAAAGAGGATGTGCAGGATACAAAAAAGAAAGGACGATGACTTCAGAGAGCTTCAATGCATAAGGCAACGTAGTCCATTATAATCACTTTGCACTAATGAACATCCAGGAGCTGAATCCAAACGAACAGTGCCTTCTGCTTCACGGTGAGTCATTTCTTCCATCCATGGAGGGTGAGGGGAGGCTTGGAGGGCTTCCTCAGAGGCACGCAGTCCGCATAGGGTATCGTTCACAAAGCTTTTAGTGCTGCTGCTGCCGGGCTCTCTGAATCATAGGGCTATTTCGGTGGTGCCTGGTGGGATGCAGGTCTTGTGGCACAAGGGTAGTGAAACTCGATGCTTCCTGTGCGCAGCGAGATGCCAAGGTGGGGAACCAGCTTTGTCTGCGTGTGCTCCAGCAGTAAGATTTGCTTGGTCATTATTGCTCTTGGCTGGATGCTGGCCATTTCTGTGGTCTCCACCAGGCTCCATCACAAGTTCCTTCTCTCATTGCCACAGTCACCGGGAGTCTGTTGTTCATTTTCTTGAAAATTAGAAGCCCCTTTCTGTTTACCTGTGCCCTGCTTTTCACCCCTGAGAAATGCTCTCCGATTCTGGTAAGCTCATTTCTTTCTCAGAGATTTCTACAAAGTCATACAATACTCCTTCTCCAGCCCTTCTGCTTCTGCACTCTGACAACTGCTGGGTACCAGTCAGCGATGTGCAGCAGCAGCCGCCCTGCGTGCCCGGGTGCCTCAGGTACGCACCTTGCGAGGTGAGGAGAATAACAAGCCCTTCTGAGTCACTATTCGGTTTCCATGGTAGTGAAGATGGAGGGTGAGTCATGCACAGTTTTGGAGTTGTCATCCCTGGAGCATCTACCTGGCCGTGCAACTCTGGAGCTGGTAACTCTTCCTCCACCTTCCCTTCTACGAGCCTGGGATGTGCAGCACAGAGGCCCTGTGTGGGCAGCTGAGGGTGCACTGCAAGGGCACGAGATTAGGGCACTCACACGCAGCAGCTTCATGGTATTGCACCGGCGTTAGGAGCCTGCTGGGCCCACGGCAGTGCCTGTGGTCACTGGCACCGCAGGACGGACGGCGCATGTGCGCGGCTACGTCGGCTTACAAAGGCGAAGGAACCCCCACGCTGCTGTTTGCCACAGTGGCCTCCCGACATTCTGTACGGCCGCAAGGACGCAGACCTCCGGTTAGGACACTGAGAGGGGCACGTGTCTCACGCAGCGTGCCATGACATGCTGCAGCGTAACACAGGCCGTTTTGGGATACATTAAACCACTCTGACGATGAGGATCTGAAGCCACGTAAGTCCACCCCAGTCTGCTCAGCTGCGCAAAAGCAGCAGATGCCCAGAAACGAGGCTGTCAAGGCATTCGCGTGGACTTACGTTGGTTTAAGCTGACCATAAAACTGTGTCTTGAGAGTTAACCAAGAGGGTTAATTAATCCTAAAAGGATTAATTCCCCTAACAAACTTTCACCTGTCCTAACTAATTACTTGCTTGATCAAAAAGCAGTGTGTATTGTATTTGAAAACTGAATTTGGTAGCGGCTGACTCTTTAAATGCAACTGCGCCATGAAGGTGCTCCTTCCTGGGCCCCACACTGCTGGCACCGAACAGGCAGGAAGAGTAAACGCGTGGCCATCAGCTGGGGAAAAACGAGTTGAGTCGAACAAACAGACTTGCTGTTTGCAGCTGAGCGGTGGTGGGGATTCCTGAACGCATGGACGTAAGGAGCCGAGGGTTTACGTGGCTCCAGGTTAGCGACTTCAAGGCTGATGGGCCAAATTTTGAATCTTCAGGAATGCAACTCAGTCTTGAATTCTGCATACAGAGGGCAGGATGGAACTCAAGAAAGGAGACTGGAAACACAGCGGCTCATTGGGTCAGCGTGGTGGCGTCTAGTAATGGAGAAAGGGGGAAAGGCCCCGCGTACCTCACGCAGCCCAGGATGAATGTGTATATACCGACATACACACACAGCACGCATGCTGACAAACACCGGTTCGCAGGTTTCCACCAAGGTACTACTCGCAGTTCAGGTGTTTTGGGGGAAGAGACAGCTGAGTGACCGCAACACAGGCTGCCTGCCCATACATATTGCAGGTCGAGATCCTGCATGTTTAGGATCTCTCGGCTTTCAGTCACACGAACGTGGGGAGCAGAGCCGTGTAGTACCGACAATCCTCCCCTCCACTTGGGTGGGCTAGAGATAAAATGCTCCATGTTCAGAGCCCCGTCCGGCTCAGTACAGTCAGGAGAAACGCCCTCGGGAGGGTTATCCTTCCTTGCTTTCCCCCAAGTCACCCGCCTGTCTTTTAATGCTGCTCCTTCCGTCGCACGTGCAGTGACCCGGCCCATGGTCCGAGCGGCTCTTCCCGAAACACTGAATGAAGGTGCCGTCTCTGGGCCAGGCCCCCGGGCCTTTCCCTCCGGAGACCGCCGGCAGCCGCGGCACCCC